AATTACAAATGTTGATCATGACCCCTGTGAAATAATGGCCGACACCAACTTTAGGTAATGTACTGTGTGGGGTCGACAGCCAATGGAAAAGGCAATGCCAATGCCTCATTATGTTGATTGAAAGGGTTTTATTTTACTTTTAAAAAAAAAAAAAGCAAGTTACTCGTCTTGGCCTTGCTTTAAACGCTTCTTCTTCTTCTTTTTTTATTTTATTTTAAATTTTTTAGTTAAGAATAAGAATGCAAATTAGATCCTTCCAGAATGTTTTCAATAGAATGTGCATCATTTTATATTATGAAAACACAGAACAAAAGTGTAAATTATAAATAAATATATAAAAACGTAGTTCAGTAGTGCTGTGAATTTTGAAAAAATTATTTTTAATAGTGTTGAAAGAAAAAATATTATTACAAAAAATTGTTAGAAAAATATAGAAAATACAAAGAAGAACAACAATAATTTATGAAAAAATAAAATAACAAAATCGTTACAACACTAATTCAACTTTTGTACCAAACTCAGAAACTGAATTGTAAGGATATCGAGGCACGTGAACCACGCTTTCCTTAAAACAGATTCGTCCCTTCCGGCGAGTGCTTGAGGCAATGTTGGACGTCTGTCTCCCAAGATACAACGACGACGACGGTAGCTCGAAGCACTATCAAAACCGTCCGGCGAACTAGAACTTGGACCTTCCCTTTATCACCAAAATTGAACTACAAATAAAAACACACAAAGAACTCGCAAGAGAAGAGAGAATCGAGAAGAGAACTCGGAAATGTGTACATGTCCTTTATGTGGTGCATGGGTTTTATAGGTTCTCGAAATAAGGGCTACAAAACATGGCATTATGGGACTTAAACGCACATCTTAATGGTGCAAAACGTGCATGATGAACCTAGCCACAAATCCACAGTAAGTTCAGATTTTATGAACACAAAACTGATGGCATAACCAGCCATTAAGTCCACCATTAAGCTCGGTATTAAGTATACCATTAAGCCCTCCTTTAATCACCATTATGCTCATTTTTTAGCCATTAAGCACATCATTAAGGTTAGGGCAAACGGTTGGAAAAGTCTTGGCTGAATCAAAAATAAAAATTACAAAAATAAGCTTGCACGGAGCGAGTTTTTTGGTCCATCATTTGTGTCCGTACACATTGAGCCCCAAACCCGCTGGGACTATGATTCGTACCCGTCTTGCGTGTGAGAGAATCTCTCTGGAATATATACTTACCTAGACTTCAAAGTGCAATCACTTATAAACACCACCATGGCTCTATTCCTAGCCAATGTGGGATTTTGTAATTTTCCAAACCAACTTAACCATTACAAGTTGCATTCTTAAAGCATAAATTTCTCATTCACCCAATATCCATTTTGAGCGTATGAATATCCAATTTCGATCTCCTTGCAACGGAGAACGTAAATCCATTGTGACCCGTCCCAAAAACCTATTGGGTCCTATTCGAATATAGGCCTCAAAATGGGTCTTTAAAATGACTTAACAAACCATTTTTTCCAACAAAAATAACTGAGTATTTAGTAAACTATAATTATACTAACTGTGCTGGTTTTAAAATCAATATAATAGTGTTTGATAAATTATAATGTTGAATTACTGTAGATAGTTAAAATGACCAAAATAGACATCATATAAAACTTGAATATATATAATTATTTTTAATATGTAGCAATACTTGTTTAACTTAAAAAAATAAAAAAATAAAATAAACATAATACTATGATTCTGAGTTTTCTAATAATAAATTTATGATAATTAATTCTTTTTTTTTATTTCTTTATTCACGGTGCAAAATGTGCATGATGAACCTAGCCACAAATCCACAGTAAGTTCGGATTTTATGAACACAAAACTGATGGCATAACCAGCCATTAAGTCCACCATTAAGCTCGGTATTAAGTATACCATTAAGCCCTCCTTTAATCACCATTATGCTCATTTTTTAGCCATTAAGCACATCATTAAGGTTAGGACAAACGGTTGGAAAAGTCTTGGCTGAATCAAAAATAAAAATTACAAAAATCTTGGCTCGCACGAAGCAAGTTTTCTGGTCCATCATTTGTGTCCGTACACATTGAGCCCCAAACCCGCTGGGACTATGATTCGCACCCGTCCTGCGCGTAAGAGAACCTCTCTAGAATATATGCTTACCTAGGTTTCAAAGTGCAATCACTTATAAACACCACCATGGCTCTATTCCTAGCCAATGTGGGATTTTGTAATTTTCCTAACCAACTTAACCATTACAAGTTGCATTCTTAAAGCATAACTTTCTCATTCACCCAATATCCATTTTGAGCGTATGAATATCCAATTTCAATCTCCTTGCGACGGAGAACGTAAATCCATTGTAACCCGTCCTAAAAACCTATTGGGTCCTATTCGAATATAGGCCTCAAAATGGGTCTTTAAAATAACTTAACAAACCATTTTTTCCAACAAAAATAACTGAGTATTTAGTAAACTATAATTATACTAACTGTATTGGTTTTAAAATCAGTGTAATAATGTTTGATAAATTATAATGTTAAATTACTGTAGATAATTAAAATGACCAAAATAGACATCATATAAAACTTAAATATATATAATTATTTTTAATATGTAGCAATACTTGTTTAACTTTAAAAAAAAATAAAATAAAATAAACATAATACTATGATTCTGAGTTTTCTAATAATAAATTTATGATAATTAATTCTTTTTTTTTATTTCTTTATTCACAATACATAGTTACAACAAAAAGGAGCATTAGGGAATAACCAACATATACAACAAAAATATTTCCATTCTCAAAAACTTGTAGAGTCATTATGCAAATTAAGTCGTGCTCATTAAAATATCATATTTCATCTATTTCTTGTGATAGTAAAGCTTGATTTTCTTACATTGTCTTCTAGTTGATTCTCTTCATAAACGAAACCATCTGGATTAAATTTCCGAATTAAATTTTTCCTTCCAACTTTATCAAGATGAGTTTCAAGACGGCGTCCATCTTCCACCTCTTTGATACACAAATCACAAAACAGATCCACAGTTTCAAGTTCCCATATTGCTTTGCCTTGTGGTACACTACCCTTCATTTGAAAAATAATATCTAGAGCAAAGTGAGGCTCCATGCTTTACTTTAATTTTGTGAAAAAGAAATACTTCTGGTGTTTCCACTAACTCTCAGCAGCTAAATGATAGGGTTCGTAGATTCTTCACCACTTTATCACCATGAAACCAAAACTTCTTTGGAAAAACGACATAAGAACCCAGCAAACACCAGTCAGCTTAATAAACACAACATACGGTTCTGGGTTCGCTTGATATACATTGTTAGGCTCATTTTCCACAAGCACTAACTCAATGATGCATTTATTTAACAGAATATTTAAGCCCTAATTTTGACAGGACTGAGTGACTATAACTGTATATTATCTTACCTTGATGTACATTGTGAAGCCCTTCCAATCAGCATAACATCAAGTTAAAATGCCTCTGTTTTTCTTTTCTTTAAACTGCTGAGAAAATTAATGATTTATAAAACAAACCCTATAGTTCCAAAAAGGCAGCATGACTGAGCCAAAACATTTTATTTTCAAAATTTCACTCGTTTTCCTGCCTTTCATTAAAAAAATTCATTTTAAAAATCTCTCATTTTCCCACGTCTTTAGCAACCACACGCACAATGCTTCAATTACACAGTATTTTTTAAGCCCTAATTGCAATGGCATCAGCTGGGTTTTACGATATATTGTCTTAGCTTGATACACACTGCTAAGCCACTTTTCCAATCAGCTTATACTTCGAGTAAAACGTTTTTCTTTCCCCTTTTCTGTTTGGCAGCTGAGAAAGTTAAATGCTCACTTAAGTAAGTACAATAATTCAGTAAAATCAAAACATTTACTTCCAAATTTCACTCATTTTCCCAACATTTCGCTAACAATCATGACTAGACAGTTCGATAAAATTACCAATCAAACACCGAAATGTTCAGATTCAAGAAAGAGTGAGAAAAGAAACCAAAAACTAGACACATTACGAAAATTGATCAGGAAAACAAAAAACAAATTACCTCAGGGCGATCGGAAGTGGAAGAAGGAAGAAGACCGAGCGATCTCGCGGACCAAACAGAGCTGAGAATCTTGTTCCCGACGTTGGAGAAATCCATCTCGCCTCCTTGGGACAACAAAAAGGGGAGAAAAAAGAAAAACCTAGAGCTCTGAAAACCCTCGCTCAAATCGCCATTGAAAAGGAAGGGGTTTCCGAGGACGGTGCCGAAGGGGGAGAGATTCGGCTGCATTTCAACTCGAATCTCCCAGATCGAGCCCTAGAATTCCCATTTCAGTAACAAATCGACTCAAATTTGAGGAGATCTGAGTGGTGGAGTTCTTCTTCAAATGTGATTGGCAAGATGGTAATTTTTAAATTTTATTGGCGTAAAATTGAGAATAAGAAACTTTCATTTATCAGCCTTAGCTGATTCCCGCATTTGAAATCAGAATTCGCCTAGACTGATTCTGCTTTTAGGTGAAAATTATTTAAAAATCTATTTTTTTGCTTCTCATCACACAACTTTGACAACTTTAGCTAGGTCAATACCAAACTGGGCCAAAATATTCCTGACATAGGTTCCAAAAAAGTAAAAAACAAAAAACAATTAACTCATAATTTGATCTCTTATTTTGATTAAAACAAACCTCATTAGTAGTGCAAAACATAGACATTGTATTCCACAACCGCATCACCAGTTTTTAAATCAAACTTATGAGTCCTGGCCTGAGCATACCCTCTTGCAAACCTGAAAAGTCCACTTCCTCCGACAATCGGCATCTCTCTCACCGCCGAAAAGGCGGCGTTTCGTCCCAAGATGCTGAGAGTGCTTCCATTGTACTTCCCTTCCGTGAAGACATAGTTAAGGACCATCATCAATCCAACCTCAGACTGAGAAGCCGAGGCATACAGTCCTTGAGCTCTTCCCAATTGCTTGGAATTCGGCTCGGGCCCCACCGTCAAAGGATCGTCGATCGCCGTCACAAGGCCGAAAAACGTGGACGACGCGTTTGTAACCGGCGGCCCGGCGATTTGGATGGCTGTCGGGTTTTTGCCGCCGACGATGTCGTGGAAGTAGAAGTGGAGGTGGCTCAGTTTCTCTCGCTTAAACCATAGTTCTTTCAGAGATAATTTTCTCGAGAATTTTTTGTGGTGATCTTCGGTCACTGTGGATGTGGATGTGGATGTACTAGAACTGCTACAACTGGGAATGGTGCTGATGATCATCAAGACGAAGAGGATGAGGAAAGAGAGAATGGTTTTTTGGGGAGCATTGGAATTGGAGGACATTGTTGGGGAGACAAAGAGGAGTGGTGATCCTAATGGAGAGAGAGAGAGAGAGCGATTCTTTTTTATCTATCATCGTCCATGTATATAGATGTAGCTAAATGCGCAAGCATGGTATTTTTCTTTTTGCTTTTGTGAAAATAATAAAAAAAAAAAGTTAAGATTTAATGTATCTAAATAGAACTCTAAGTTTAAATCAGCTTAAATAGACGAGTCTCGTCACTGTTGATCCGGACTTAATCATGTTTGACCTTAATCTTTGAACTTAATTGGGCGAGGTTAATTTCGAGCTTAAAAACTTATTTGGATACCCTCTTTTTAAATATCTTTTTTGAAAATATCATATAAAATTTTGAGTTGAATTAGATTGATTCTTTTTCTTTTAAAACCGGTCTGGCTCAAACTTTCCATTTAAACCGTCAAGTGTAAATCGGACCGGATTGCGACTCAAAATTTCACCTCTAATCTACAAATATGAGGTTTTTTGCGTTAAAAAAGGCATTTTTTTGTGACTGCCCTGATGAGAAACTCAAACCTTAATTTCTACTTAGTCAAGACTCTAGATCCGTTTGACTATCTAAAAAGATTTAAGACTAGACAAATCATAATACATATCCCATTGGTTGAGTTGAGTACTTGGTTCTCCATGTTTGGACCAGCTCTGCTCTTAACTTTCTTATTTTTCAATTGATCATCTGCAATAAGGACAAAAGAAAACCATAGAAATAATCTTAAAAAAAAAAAAGATTATTCTCACATGTGCCATTCAGATTTTAGTGTCATTCTTATTTTATCTCCTGAACTATTAGAATTTTCATTTATCTTTTAAATTTTGAATTATTTCCATTTAGTTCCTTCTATTATAGTTTCCTTCAACACTAATTGAAAAAGAGGCATCTCACTTAACCTTTTATATTAGAACTTATGTTAAAAACAAACGAAAAAAAGACCAAATGACTTTTTAACCCCATCTTTTTTTCAATCTATTATAGTGAAAATTATAAAATATAGGGTTAATGTTGAACTGATTTAAAATTTGGGAACAAAGTGAGAGTTTTTTAACGTTTGAAAGGCAAAATAAAAACTATCCTAAAGTTGAGGGGCATGTGTAAGAGTAGTTCAAAATAAAAATTAATAATTAAAAAACCTTGAAAAGTACACCTACCCACTTTACCTGTAAATTATTATAAATATGTATACTAGTAATGTACTGGGCAAAACATAATCAAGTGGTGCAGAGAAAGCGCCAAAAAGTATAGAAGGAACTGAAGAAGCAAGTTGGCATGGTTAAAAAAACAAATGATGGGACAATTTTATAATGTGGATATATCTGTTTTCTAATTATTCGCCTTCTCTTAAAATTTAAGAATATGTCGTACAGCCCAAACGTATTAACTTATTAAGAATCATAGCGTGCCCAATTATGATAAATTAATCCAATAAACTTAACAATTTAATAAATATCAATTAATTATAAGCTCCATTTGGAATTACTTATATATAAGCTTTTTTGCTTTGGAAAAATAGACATTAGACTGAGATTTCTCCATTACCCATTTATATTTAATCTGATTAATTCTAAAAAATCCTCATATGGGATTCAAATTAGATCAAACTAAATGACAAATGGACATACTTTATTACACATAGCCTACCAAACCACAACTTATATGAGTTCTCTGAGCGTGACTTAGATTCACGAAGCGAGCTCAATAACATTGCGTGACGTCATAATTGGGCTTGGACCCTTAAATGGACTTAGTACAAAATCGGGTATCAACGTCTCCTTTGGTCGATACTTGAGCAAACATCACGCACACACAAAGACAGGCAAATAAAATTACAAACGTGGGAAAAACGTATAATATAGCTCTCATCATCTCAGTAGTGGATAACATAAATATTATACTCCACAACAGCATCCAAAGTTTTGGCATCAAACTTATGAGTCCTTGCCTGAGCATACTCTCCTGCGAATCTGAAAAGTCCATTTCTTCCGACGATCGACATCTCTTTCAAGTCTGAAAGCGCAGCGTTTCGTACCAAGATGTTGGGGATGCTTCCGTTATATTTCCCTTCCGTACAGATGTAGTTGTGAACCATTAAAATCCCTACATCAGATTGCGAAGCCGAGACACATATGCCTTGAACTTTTCCAACTTTCTTGGAGCTCCGCTCTGGCCCCACCGTCGAAGGGTCGTCCATCATCATCACCCTGCCGAAAACCGTCAATGATTTGTTCGTCACTTGTGCTTCGGCAATTTTGACAGTCGTCGGGTTTTTGCTGCTGATGACGTCGTGGAAGTAGAAGTGGATGTGGCTCAGTTTCTCTCACTTTAGCCCTAGCACTTTCGGAGATAGGTCATTTGAGAAGGTAGGGTATTGATCATGATTATGATCGGCGTTTGAAAGAATGTGCAAGAGTGTTAGGAGCATTGTTAGGCCACGTCGTTCAGAGAGAGGCCCAAAATCGAATCCCAAATGTCTAGATTAAAGTGGACGTGAATCAAAACCGTTGCAGTTGCAGTCATGAACAAGTAGCCGTTGCAGTTGCAGTCGTAGACAAGTAGAGAACGAAAATATCACTGGATTGGACTGGGTCATTTACCGTTGAGAGTTTTATGTGTTTTTTTTTGTTGCGTGTTATTCCCATTTGTTATGCTATGTTTTTACGTGTTTTGCGTGTATGTTTCCACGTGTGTTACATGGGTTGTGGTTCCGTTTTGGGTTTCTTGTACGAGGCTTTGCTTATTTAAAGCAGCTGAAAGTTATCAATGAAGGGGGAAGAAATCATTTGCATTCAAATTGTGGTACATTCCTCACCCGAAGAGGAAACTTGTTTGTGGTACATTCTCACACGAAGAGAACACAAATTATCCTAAGAATCATCTATGTGTTTGGGACCTATCATTTGGTATCAGAGCAGGTTGCTTATGGGCACTAACAAGGAGCGTATTGAGCGCTTGGAGTCTGGACTTGGTGTAGTTCAGGAAGGACTACAGCGAATGGAGGAAGCTTTCAATCGGCTTTCGAGTGTGTTGATCACAAATAAGGAGAACCCTAACCATGGCAACGCTCACCGAGAAGGCAACGATGGGTGTCGGCAGATCATCTCCTCCAAAACGGCTGGAATTCCCACTATTTCCAAGGGATGGCCCAACCGAATGGCTCAACTGAGTGCACTAGTTCTTTGAATCCCAGGGCACGGCGGAAGCCCAAAAGGTTTCCATGGCAGCATATCATTTGGAAGGAGAGGCTAACCAATGGTGGTAGTGGATTCGCAGAACATTTCGGGATGAAGGACATGTGATTTCATGGGAGTAATTTAAGGAAGAACTCTGGGCTCACTTCGGACCATCAGAATATGAGGACTTCGACGAAGTTCTCTCCCGAGTCAGACAGCTAGGAACTCTGAGGGATTACCAACGCGAGTTTGAAAAGCTCAATAACAGGGTCCAAGGATGGACTCAGAAAGCATTGGTGGGGACATTCATGGGCGGTTTGAAGGCTGAAATAGCAGATGGTATTTGAATGTTTAAGCCACAGTCGCTCAAAGAGGCTATTAACTTGGCACGGGTGAGGGACGATCAACTTGCACGACAAAGAAGGTTCATGCGGTTACCACCTGCGAGAGCTCCGTTAGCTCTTCCACCAACCACTCGTGTAGTTCCTGCTACACCCGCAGCCGCAGGACCCATGAAACGTTTGTCTTGGGAGGAAATGCAGAGGAAAAGAGCACAAGGTCTATGTTTCAACTGCAATGAACGTTTTACAGCAGGCCACAGATGTCAAAAACCGTAGCTATTACTCTTGGAGGGGCATGCCGATAACGTGATATGTGAGGAAATTACTGATCAATAAACGCTGGAAGATGACCACAGGGGAGATGCAACAGAGGTGCAGGGACTTGAACTTGAACCCGAAATCACGTTACACGCCTTGACGGGATGGACTGCTCCGAGGACGATGCGTATGAGAGCAATGATGGGTTCTCTCGAGGTAGTGGTGCTGATCGACAGTAGGTCAACACACAACTTAATCAGTGATCGTCTAGCAAGCATGCTACGATTACCAGTGGTACCAACAGATACATTTACTGTTCAGATTGCAAATGGCGAGTGTTTGAAGTGTCAAGGGCGTTTTGATAAGGTAATGGTGAATTTACAAGGAACTAAGTTTTATCTCACCCTCTTCTCGCTACCATTATCAGGTCTCGATCTAGTGCTTGGCATTTAATGGCTAGAAATGCTGGGTTCCGTGGTTTGTAATTGGAAGCAATCAACCATGGAATTCATTTGGGATAATCAAGTCTGAAAGCTATAGGGGATAGGCGAGCAATCCATTCAAAAGGCTACATTACAAGAAATAATCAAAGACTGCCGAAGAGACCACACATTGTTTGTAGTAAACTTTCCTCCAACCACAGAAGCAGCATCACAGGGGGGAACGTACGACGTGAAACAATAAGACTTGCTGCGAGTATTGCACGAGTATGGGGACGTGTTCCAGGAACCCTCGTGTGTACCACCTATGCGCGAGGTAGATCACTGCATTAAACTTAAAGAAGGCACCGAGCCAATCAATGTACGACCCTACTGATACGCCCATTTTCAAAAGGACGAGATTGAAAAGCAAGTTCAAGAAATGTTGAACTCCAGGCTCATCTGTCCTAGCACTAGTCCGTTTTCTTCGCCGGTTTTGCTAGTAAAGAAAAAGGATGGAAGTTGACAATTTTGCACGGACTATCGCGCGCTTAATATCGCCACCATCAAATACCATTTCCCTATCCTAACAGTTGACGACATGCTCGATGAATTATATGGCGCCTCTTATTTTACAAAGTTGGATCTACAGGCCGGCTATCATCAAGTAAGAGTAAATTCTTCCGATATTTCTAAGACTATTGTTCGTACTCATAATGGCCATTACGAATATCTCGTAATGCCTTTTGGCCTTTGTAATGCACCTTCTACATTTCAGGCCATTATGAACTCGATATTTCAACCTTACCTTCGGAAGTTCATCTTGGTTTTCTTCGATGATATTCTCGTATATAGTCCAACTTAGGATAGCCATGTGATGCATGTTGAACAAACTTTGGAGATTTTGAGGCAAAATAATTTTTTTGCCAAAACCAGTAAATGCGTATTCGGCCAGCAAGAATTAGAATATTTGGGGCATATTATCACGCCTCAAGGGGTAAAGGTGGACGACCAAAAAATTGTAGCCATGGTAGCATGGCCACGTCCTACTAATATTTCTGAATCACGTGAGTTTTTAGGCTTGACAGGGTATTACAAGAAGTTCGTCCAGCGTTATGGCATCATCACACAACCTTTTACTCACTCACTCAAGAAGGGACAGTTCGAATGGAATGACGATGCTAAAACAACATTCTCGGCTCTTAAGCAAGCAATGACCACCACTCCCATTTTGGCTATGCCTAATTTCAATGATTCCTTCACCATTGAAACCGATGCCTCAGGAGACGGGATTGGCACAATTTTATCGCAGCAAGGCAAGCCCATTGCGTTTATGAGTCGAGCACTGGGGGTTACAAAAAAATCTTGGTTAACGTATGACAAGGAAATGCTTGCAATTGTGGAGGCCATACTCCTATGGAGTCCTTATTTACTGGGCAGAAAGTTTTTCATCAAAACTAACAAGCGTAGCTTGAAGTACTTCTTGGAGCAACGTGTGGCAACACCTGAGCAATAGAAGTGGGTAGCCAAATTAATGGGCTACGACTATGAAATTACTTACTGTCCAAGCCATGAAAACTCAGCTGCAGACGCCCTCTCACGCAAGCCTCACAGCCCAGTTCTTCATCATCTCCACGTGCCCTCTGTAACCATGTGGGATGAGATTAAATGAGCTTATGAAAGAGATTCTTATATACAATTTGTAGATCAAAGGGCCAAGGCTCAACCTGAGGGGCACTACTCATGGCACCAAGGACTCCTTTTATTCAAAGGCAAAGTGGTTATTCCTTCTCATGGGGTGCTACAGTCTAAACTCATACACGAGGCTCATGACACAAAAATTAGGGGGCACTCAGGAGTGTTGCGGACGTTCAAGAGACTAGCTCAACAATTCTATTGGCCTAAAATGCACCAAGCCGTCCATGAATATGTCAAGCGATGTGAAGTCTGCCAGAAGATGAAGTCCGAGACACTCCCCCTTGCCGGCCTCCTGCAACCTTTGACCATTCCTTGCCAAGTCTGGGAAGATATCACTCTCGACTTCATTGAAGGCTTGCCGACATCCCACGGCCAGGATACAATTTTGGTAGTTGTGGACAGGTTAAGTAAATTCGTACATTTCTTAACTTTAACTCATCCTTTTACTGCTAAAGGTGTGGCTGAAAAATTTGTTGAAGGGGTTGTCAAATTACATGGTCTTCCTAGATCGATCATTAGTGATCGGGACCCTATTTTTATTAGCCAATTTTGGCAAGCATTCTTCCAAATGTCAGGTACAAAGTTAAAACTCAGCTCCACTTATCATCCGCAAACCGACGGCCAGACAGAAGTGGTCAATCATTGTGTAGAGCAGTACCTCCGCTGCTTTGTTCACCAATGGCCACGAAATGGAGCACCTATATTCCCTGGGCATAACTGTGGTACAATATGACGTACCATGCATATACAGGAATGACCCCATTTCAGGGGTTGTACGGCCATTTGCCTCCTCCACTTCCCATTTACCATAATGGCTTATCTTCGGTGTGTGAAGTGGACCAGAGTTTCATGTCTAGAGAAAAGTTGTTGCGCCAACTTAAAGCTAATCTCGAGACTTCCAGCAATCGCATGAAGCGGATAGCGGATCACAAGAGAAGGGATTTGACTTTTGAAGTAGGCGATATGGTGTTTCTTAAGTTACACCCCTATCGGCAGCAGTCTGTTTTCAGACGTGCTCACCAGAAGCTCGCCAGTCGATTTTACGGACCATACCCAGTGCTACAAAAAAATGGAGCAGTTGCATATAAGCTTCAGTTGCCAGAAGGAGCCCGCATTCATCATGTTTTCTATGTTTCCTTGTTAAAAAAAATCGTGGGAGACATGGTGGTGCCATCTACAGAATAGCCACTAGTGACTGATGAAGGCGCAGTTATATTGGAACCGCAACAAATACTGGAGACTTGCTGGGTCAAACGAGGAAATAAATTTAAAGAAGAAAAGCTTAGTCCAATGGAAGTGCCTACCAGCGGAGGAGGCCACTTGGGAGACAACCCAATCCTTACTTGCGCAGTTTCCATCTGTGGACCTTGAGGACAAGCGTCCACTGGAGGGGGGGGAGTATTGTTAGGAGCATTGTTAGGCCACATCGTTCAGAGAGAGGCCCAAACCCGAATCCCAAATATCTGGATTGAAGTGGACGTGAATCAAAACCGTTGCAGTTGCAGTCATGAACAAGTAGCCGTTGCAGCCGTGGAC